AGATTAAATGTTTGTCTTTGACATTTAGTAAAGCGTAAATTGAGAACCTAGTCTGTAAGTCTGGATAAATGCGCTTAGACACATTATTTTCACATAGATTCTACATCCTGTCCGGTTTATATCAACGTGAACACATAACTGCTTTGAGCAGTTTCCATAGAAGAACCCATGTGAAGAAACCAGTCTTATAAGACACAGGAATTTCGCAAGGAGTACTTAAATTGACTTCTTGATAGACGGAAGAGCTCAGCTATCCGTTTGGCGACAGAATGACACATGGAACCCATCATATATAGTATTCTTTCTGTATTTCGATGTGACTAGTCCTCTTTCGTTCCAGAATCTGTGTGTAGTCCATCGATAATCGCAATTTTGTTCTTGCCCCCATCAATTACAAAACTTTACCATTACCTGAAAGTACTTTCAACAGCTTCTTAAAACATCGTATAATCAGTCGAGGCACAAAGTTTAGAGGTTTTCGCCCATGCTTATATCAAGTGATTAGAGTCTGTTATCATGTATGACAAGATCAGAAAACTACGGAACTGTACCTTTTTTCTCCTACATGAACGGTTACATGCGAATTGGCTATCAGTCCACTGACTTTAACAGAAAGAAGTGTTTCGCATTTGACGCCACCTGTGATTAATGAGGAAGATGTTTAAGTTTGCAGAGTACGCTACTGACAGAACTGAAACTACTAAATCTTCACAGATGTGAAAAAATATAATTTTACTCTAACCATTAAACCTATCTCTAAATTAAAAAACAAGGATAACGATGCAATTAAATAACCAATTTCACACTGAGTTGAATAATGCCATATCCTGCGTGTTTTGTTTCCATATCTTGCTCTATTTGGGATTATAACAATAATCCTACCATGAATAAGACGAGCGGATTTCTGTTATTTTCAACATAGCAAATTCTTTAAGAAAATTGGCCATTAAAACAAGACCCATCACCCCAAAACAAACTACTATCTCCGTAAGTTTGATTAGTGGACCAATATTAACCATCTGTTCCCATTCGTTTCAAGTTTACGATAATGCCTTCAGATTCGCTATATTAGAAGGTCAATATCAATTCACCTTTTATTTATGTGAAGATTAAAACATTGGTACAAGGGGGAACCAAATATATATGCGCTACACAATAAAAATAAGGTTGTGAAAAGATAGAGAAAGGAAAGCAAATATAATAAAAAGAAACAATGAATAGACAAAAGTGTATGAGGGTGGAATAATAATAAATGAGAGAAGCAGCTCAGTTAGGAAAAATACAACTAGAATGAATTCTTTCAGTTAAAGAAGTTACTTTAACCTTTATGAAGAAATTTACAGAAGGATCACCACTAGCTTCCATTCTTAGCTATTTCTGATAACGCCTCGAGCCAGTGTGTTATACCACCTTCTAGGACCGTAACCAGGAAGTCGTGAAGGATCAAGAGAACCCAATCTTAAATAGCTGTCTTTCAAACAACCCCATATCAAGTACTGATCACCTCTCTTTTCCGAACCAGCCCCACAATCGGAAAATAATGCACGATGTAGAATCTGCTAAGACGACATTCGCAAAACACATTCAAGCCACTGAAATCGATATTTCAAGGTAGTGACACTAATTGAATTATCGTCGTCGTCCCAGGATACACATTGCAAAACTCTTTATTATTAACGTGTTGCCACTGGAATCCAGGAGTCCGTCGTGGACAAGGATGATCAAACACGGAGTCATCTGATGTCCTCAGTTCGGAAAACTAGGTTTCACAAGCACAGGAAAATCGCTCCCATTGACGCAGTATAGATCCGACCTTTCACAGCCAGACCAACTTCGTGAAGGCGCCAAAGACCGCCCAGATTGGCATAAGCCGCTCTGGCTCTGAATTGATCACATTATTCCTGACACCACCAGCATTTACACAGCTGTCCAGATTTTCCAGCTACCTCTATCTGCTTACTACCAGGAGTGTGTTTTGTCAGTCTTGTAAAAATACTTTCTGCTTAGGTGCAAAGCACATGCCATACCTACAGACACTGATTAAGTGCAGATTGCATGGCTTGGGTATCATCGTACAGTAAGACAATATGATCCGCATACTCAAGGTCAAAAAGTTTTTTCTACACAACAGATCCACACTACCATCTGAATCCATCAGAGTTATTTCTAGAACGTTATCGATAACAAATTTAGAAAGGAATGGTGAGACTGAGCAACTTGACTAACCCTAATTTGCCGAAATAGATCTGTTTAGGGAGATTAAATTGTTCAGTACTGAAACGTAAAATAAGATCAGCATACACAAAGGCGTGATCAGAGTCCAGATAAGTATTTCAGAATGAGTAGAAGTACTGTACACAACCACGCCAGAGGTAGCTGATCACGATGTGATCAATATGAGTTCAGGTCAGAGATACAGAAGGAGAATGACAAGTGGTACATCGGCGATGTCTGTGACGATAGTTAGTGCTAGCCAGGAACAGGTTATGGTCTGAGAAAAGTCGCAGTAGATGATCACCGTTATCTGAACTAAGACCATTGACCACCCAAACGACTCTTGTGCCTAGACGCCCGATCTGCGCAGTGAAATTTTCGACTAGTACTACAATATCTGTCGAACGCACTTTCCGTAAAAGAACACTTAAACGGTAGTAAAACTCATCCTTGATCGCATCTGGGTTGCAATCTGTAGATGCGTAAACGCAAATGACATCCTATCCCACACATAATTCCCCACACTTTGATGAAGCTTCCTAATCTAACAACACATAACCGACTGTCAACGGAGATCCGATCGATTTGTGCTGTCTCAGCTGTAGAGCTTAGTGTGACACAAGAGAAAGCAAAACCATTTTTCGAAGAGAAAGATGGAGAGGAAGTTTGTAATACTTTACTAGAGTCTTGAACACAGGTCTCATATAGACAGCAGACATCGATGTTGAGAATTTCTAAAGGTATACCCAATCCTGTCTGTTGTCCGATCTCCATTAGTGTGCGAACGTTGGAGGCAAGTTTGGATGACACATGTTTCAGAAAGGCTAGTTCAGAATTCGTATTCATTAGTAGCGCTCAACTTTCGACCATTCAATAACTTGAGATCGTTTAGATAGGACAAGGTTTCCACTATAGACGAACTGCTATAGAAGTTGAAGAATATAGGGATATATAAGATGGGAATAGAGGAATAGACAAGTGATGCGATTTAAAATAAAAACGAGTCTTGACAAGTTTTTGTATGATTTGCAAGGATTGAAATGAAGGCGTGAACAGTTTTTCCCAATAGTAGTCATAATTTGGTTTAAATGTGGGTTGGGATACAGCTCAGACACCCGAACCAAAGTAGATGGTTTTTTAGAGAGCTAATCTCCGAACCTTTGATCTAGAGGTTTTTGCGACCTGTTGATAGGACTCCAATTTGATCATATGATGATGTTAAAGAAATATACAACTTGACCACCTTTGGACATAATGATCGACTTAACTCGCGTCAAAAAATAATGGAATAAAATAAGCCAAATACCACAATAAATTCTGAATACGTATGTTACATACATTCGTTGATCCAGGCAAACAATCAGAGAAACGAAGTAGATCAAACATGACTCAATATTCATAGACGGACAAAAATAAGCTAAAGACATGTGATGAATAGGGTAAGAGACTGGCACACGATCATATAAGAGCAGACAAGGTTATAAGTGGATAAGTGACAAGGTCAAAATGTGACTCAAGAATAAGTAAATTGGTCTATCCAGAAGCTAGAATAACTCACGTGGGATTGCCATAGTACTGGACACTACAATTCAGTGGAGCAACGTCAGGAGATGCAGTTCCATGGCGGCCGGTAAACAGCAATAGATTTATATGCCATTCGTTCTCTCAGGATTCTATGTGCATTACTGGTTTGGAATAAAAGTTTTCCAACTCCCGTAGGTAAATGCACTGTACCTATTGTTATTTTTATTTTAACACATAGATATTGGTACAAGGAGGCACCAAATATATATGCGCCACACAGATCTCATTTGATATGTGTGAGGGCTGTGATACTGCCCGGGTGCCCAAACCGAAGCAGGTGGTTTTCTTAGGGGGCCACACCCCGAGCCTTTGACCTGAACGTCTGATCCACAAGGCAGTGGAGCATCGTGAGGAGATGCATTCCCATGGTAGCCGGTGACCGACGATTGGTTCATACGCCATTTGTTCCTCCAGGATACTGGAGCCCATGTGCACCATTGGTTTAGAATCCGGTTAAAGCGCCGGACATTCTTTTCGTCCCTTCATTTTCGTAAACAACACCCTCGCCACGTGAAGGCAGTGAGTAGGACTTCTCTGGCAGAGGCTAATACGTGTGGCCATGTGAGAGCATTTCGAGAGGGAGAGCGGACTCTCCCCACTCTCGACCGTACCAGGGCATTTGCACCGTACCTACCAAAAAAACACCCCCGCCTCCATGAGGCAGTGAATAGGACCTCCCCAGACGGTGGCTGCTTACACGTGGTCATATGGGAGCATTTCAATAGGAAGAGTGAACTGTTCTTGCCCTCAGCCACACCAGGGCATTTGGGATTGCTAGTGTATGTCAATCAGGTGAATGGTAGCACTAAGGTACATGAACTGTTAATAATTTTCCTATCCGTCTTTCTCAGTATTAATTTTACTAACCTTGAGCTTTTTGACTTTAGTTTACTTAGTAAGCCTAGACAGCTACTGTTACCTGTCATTGTCATATCAGTCTACCATGCTCTTATTGCCAAACATTGAATTTGCTGCTAGCCAGAATGAGTCTTCAAGAGTTCAGTAATATAAAATCCACCGCAACATATGCCTTTTCTTACCGTTTGCTAACCTCTGCTAAAACCTCTTACTGTCAACTTTATATCAGACTTAAAATCATCAGACGAACGATCACCGTTATCTGTTTTGTAGGAAAAGAACTCCTACTTTTTTAACTTTATTAATTGTGCACCAAAGTTGCTAAGGTAAAAGGTAGTGAAATTATAACCCCGTTATATCATAGTAAAATTTTTTAGTTTATTTAATAATTTAATGTAATTGATGATTAGATAGATCGAGAATTATAAACAATAAAATGAATAAGCGTACAACAATCCTCCTGAATAGTCTCTGTCAATGAAATCAACGAATGATCTATGTGCAAAGAAGCAGGATATTTAGCTTAGGTATGGAGCATTACGAGTCCAATATACCTTCTTTGTAGAAATACAAAACACTTCGGTACCCAAAATTAACCATAAACTTAATCACGATAGATTATATACTAATATAACCCTCATTATGCCAACGATGGATCGATTGAGACCGACAAATCACAACGCACATGCTGTGCAAACCGATAAGCTAGCAAAAAAAATACAAAGTCAGAATAATTAAATAGCAACAAATATTTCAAAACTGACATATTAACCATTAAAAACCATTATTTACTGAATTCCAATACCCAAAACGTATTAGATCAGTAGCTATCGTGATATTGTAATATCTCAAACAAATTCTTTCCTGCAACCACCCCCTTCTAGAAATAGCATAGTGTTCACACTGAAACAGAGAATCATATATTTCTAAGGTGTTAGCGTTAGTTCTTTAGACGGTAGTACTTCGTAAGGCTAGTAAGACCTTCAATTTCGCTCAGAATTTTAAAAACTAGCAGTGACCGGAATCATAAAAACAACTTCACAGCTGGATTCTCAAGGATGTTAGGCTTACAGAAATCTTGTCAAGCACCAACCAAAGATTAGTCCAAATATAAGAGTTTTATCATTAGCCTGCAAATATAAATAAACTGAAGCCTGTTACTAAGGTAAAGTTATTCTTTTATTTAGACAGTAACAGAAAATGAAAAAAGCTAACTGCAATAATTTATATTCCAGATATACCAAAAAATTCTCTAGATAGAGAAATTTAACCAACTAGCTTCAAACATTTGCTCCATAAGACCGAGATCATAAATTAATTAATGAAGTCAATTACTTGAACTTTGGGTCTCATAAGTTTATTGGTTAATATCAAAAAGAAAATTATAGCTACTGACAGAGATTTTGAGTGATACGGCTTAGAAACGAAAACAAATAACTTTATTTATAATCTTCCTAAGAATCTAGAACATTCTACTATTCTATGCTTTTCATTTTTGCTCTCACTTCTAGCTGTTCTTCCAGTTTGCTTTTTGACGTTCATAAAACGAACGCTAATGGTGAAAACTATAAACGAGAAATATTTGTACGATATCTGACTGTTTTGGTACTTATATTGAAAACTTGACCTGATAACCAAAATTCGACTTAACTAGATTATCAACGACTTTTAATTGTATATGATCTATTCATTTATAGTCATCTTGATAGTACACATACCTTTCACATATTTTTTCTACGCATCACTTATGATACTAGACTGATTTTACGCTTCAGTCTGGCTCTGCAAAGCTTTCTTTCAATCTGTTGTTATGCAAGCTAACAGTGCATATCAAGATGCATAGTAATCAAATACACATAACATGTGTATGCCACCCATTTTAGTAGGATGAAGACTCACAATCTGACCTGCTAATTTTCTACCCCTATGAAGTACTCTGCATCTAGCTTCAACATTGATAACTCTGTGATTCCACCACGCGAGTAATAGTTCAAAAACACCTATGATCAAATACCGGTAACCAACAAATCCCGTCTACTTTTAAAGGCAATGTTTCACCTACTTCGTAGGTTGTTCAGGACCCGAGAAAGATTGACTCACGAGGAGCAAGTTGGTTCTCGTTCTGGTCAAGGATGTATTGATCATATCTTCACCCTCCGCCAAATGTTATAACACCGTCATACTTATCACAGACCAACAATCATAGTGTTTCTTGACATCAGGGATGCCTTCGATTCGTTGAACAGGACAGTTCTTTGGGATTGTCTATTAAAGTAGGGTGTGTCTGAGTTCATTAACATCCTAAAAGCCCTATATACAAACACCTCAGGCAGAGTGAGGGCATACAATCACCTTTCTCCATTGTTCCATTCAAGCAGTGGGGTTAGACAGGGTGCAAACTAAAGACTTTTGGGCATAAAACTAAACGCCTTAAACAACTAAGCCACAGCTCTAAAACGATAAGTGATACCACGTAATTTCTCTGACATTGATTTGACAAAAGGGTCAAACAGTTTACGCAAAGATGGAATTAAATGAAGTCTCAACAGAATGACTATTTCACATTAACATTCTAATAGTCAAATAAAAAACTGAAGGATGTGAGCTTGGGTTTGCTAAATCGCCTACGTATTCAGAAAGCGAAACAGGCTGAACCTATGAAAATTTTCCTATATTGTGTTCCGGCCCTTATTATCACTTTTGAAAGTTTTTCAGTATCTCTTGATATAAGATAAATAAATCTAGAATATATCGAAATACGAAGCATTATGAATCAAAACAGAATGTAAGATTCCGAGAGATAAGTATCTTACAACACTCAGTCTAAGAACTTTATTCATAGCAGTATGAGCTCTTTACAAAATTAACCAATACATCACCATTAGTTTTGACTCAGTCATAAGTAACGCAGGACCTGGCAGTGTGCATTTGAAAGGACAAGATGACAGTGATATCAAATAACTGACATGTTAAGCAACTCTTTTATGTCATATTAAAAACTAATAATAGTCAAATCCGAATAAACTTTAAAAGGAGTCTAGAAGATGAACTAACCAGCAACAAGAAAAAGGTACATGCGGATCCAATGATATAACCCAAATATCTTTTAACTTCACGTTCCAAGAAATTGAGGCAGCTATACTGATAATAGATGCATTCTTTATCGCTAAAAGATCCTTCTAACTGATGATTTTTACAACAACTTTGAGGATAACTGCTATAATTGTAAAATTTCCAATCCGATCGATTTTCCACTCCGCAACACTCAAACTAAAATGCAGGATGAATTTGCAAAACTTCAGTTTACGTTTGACTGGATAAAATCAACAATCTGTCGAACTTCAGCAACTTTATTATACATCCTCAGATCTTCGTAAAGTATTTCACTTATTTGTTCTCTAACCTAGAAACGATAAATAATTTTAAAAATATGCATTACTTTTGGCCAGTAAAATATAGAAACGATTATAACAGCCAGTTTACATAGTAAAACGGTGAGCAACAATGCGCAAAACAATACATGTAGACAGCTATTATGTTTGATGCAAGCTATGAAACCAATCACTCCAGCACACAGAAGCAATAAACCTGTGCCAGACACAATATAACCAGGAAATTGTAAGTTTGTTACAGTCACAGCGTGTTTGTAACGCGCAGCAATTACAAGTATGCTCCCCCCAATACTTATAAGTATTACTGAAGCGACCTGAAGCGAAAAAATGAAACTAATTCACAAAGACTTACCAAAATCAGTGCATATGACACGGCCGTAATGAATTTAGATAAACCATCAAGAATCGCCATTGTGAGTAGCTAGTTTTCTAATAAGAAAGTTTGATAGCTCCGAATTCCTAGATAATCAAAAACGGTACAGATTAAACTAAACAGAAGATTGGACCTGTCAAGAAAGTAGAAGCGAATAAAATAAATAACAGGGACTAAGTGGTTTGAAATCGGATGCTGTAATTACCAAGTTTAACTAATTAATAACGGTGATCGTTTTGTTTAAAAAGTTATATATAGCATCATAAGGTCGCTTCAAAAGCTATTCAAATCCAGTGAATCTCAACAGCATTATTCGGATCCATCCATATGTGAAGACTAGTTCTGAACAACCGAGATAAAGCACGCAGAAATAAAAACGGCTAGGAGTTCATGAAACGATTGATAGCAGAGGCGAATAACATAAGATATGGACAGGGGATTGAATAGTTATGTCTATAACCGTTCATATTTGGTAAACAGACTGACATAGTAATACGATCAGTGTGACTATTACCAATGCAGACGGCACTCGACATCTCAGAAGACGAAAACGTTTGGCAAGGCGAACCGAAGCGGTCCAACTTCTCTGCACTTGCGATCTACATTCTTTTGATACAACAACAATCTGGTTGCGGTTTTGTCTTTTCAATTCTAACTGAAGTTTATTGGGCTACGACAAACATCAGAAATGGTAAAAAGCAAGACATAAGAATTTCATTACACATCTCTTTAAAGACGGTAATTATGTTGATGTTTAAAATTTCGTGCAGTTAGCTGAAAAATTAGGTTTGAAACGACTTAACGTAGCCGGAACGAAATATAACATTGGTTGCTGAAGTATGTGACTATCAGTTTGAGTTGTGTAGCAAGGTGTGAGCTTATTGTGACATGTCGCTGTGGTGATAGAAACCAACAGTTAGAGACCCTGAGTGAAATGCCCTACAGTGAGTTGCTTAGTAGGATTAACTTTAACTTTTGCTTTGGAGAAGGTCAACGATGAACTTGATACCATTACTTCTGAGGTTTCGATAACTGATTGCACAATAGGTAATTTGGAATTTCAATCTGTTTACCTTATCATTTTCGATGATCTGCGAGATAATTATTTTTAGAGGGAGCAAAGTGGCGAACCATATTACAACCTAAGTTATCGTTTAAGGGGTCTAAGTATGAGACCACCCCCATTTCTATTTATTTATTTATTTATTTATTTATTTATTTATTTTAACACATAAGTATAGGTACAGGGAGGTACCAAATACATATGCGCCACACAAATCTCAATTGATTTGTGTGAGGGCTGTGATACTGCCCGGGTGCCCAAACCGAAGCAGGCCCCATTTCTGAATATGAACTTATAAAAATACTTGATTATAATACACGAGGTCAAACATACCAGCTGCATTTGCAAAGCTTTGTTGCTTACAAGTCATGACATGCACTTTTATGCTAGAGAACTTGGGATAGTAATGTATTGTCGCAGATATAGCAGTTATACACACAGTCTCCGATATGGACTAGACTTTACACAAATTACATTTTTACAATTAACTCCCAAACGACTTAAGTAATTCATCTAAATAGGACTGCAGTGAAAATTTGTTACTGTTGGGACACATTATAACCCAAATCTTCATATGATATGTAAACAAAGAGAGCATATGGTATGAGTGTTTACAACCAGATCTAACAGATCTTATACATAATCCTTCTCCGACAGAAAAATATTTTTAACGCGATCGAATATTCAAATTAGTGGTTTAGTCCAAATGATACACCTACTCCATGAAAAGAGGTAGCTCAGTATCATGACACTGTGAAATATGCGAGTGTGGTTAGGATTTCATTAAGGTAATTGACAAAGATCCTGACAGGCTTTCCAAGTTCGTAGGAAACCAAATCCTGAGCGTTTGACTGATAAATGGTTACTCCCAGTTCTAAGCTCAGATAACGGAGGGAGGGAGGGCGTAGGACTTGTAACCTCAACCCTTAAGTTAAACCTAGCCTGAAAAAAGCTGATCACAGATCATTTAAAACATTCAAACTCCCACCCCATAGGAGTTGAAGGGTCTTCATACATAGCAGTTATGACGCCTCATGAAATCCTTCGGTAGTCACGAAGCTGATAGCCATTTTGACGACTAGAGTAACAATTAATATAGATAAATTGAATGTCTGGAAAACGTGGGAAACCAGAAGGGTAGCGAAAATGAAAAGATACGACCCAGCAGTGCTAGAAATAAGTGTAACTCACTAAACACAATCTGGATAGAAAGACTAACTTCAGAAGAGCTGTCGTATCACAGACACGAAGACAAAGATTCCCGACCAACACAAAAGGTTGTACTGATGTCCTACCAAGCACGAAAAGCACTAACGCGAATTAATTCGATAACCTTATACGAGGATCGGCGATGTGTATATTTCAACAGTAATCAATTATGCGATAGCACTGTAGTCGGATATCGGGTCTCAAGAAGCACCAGAACGAATAGTGGATCTCTAGACAATCTTAGAAAGATCCAAGAGAGGAAAAACAAAAGGACGGCAGTCAAGAACAGCCGATTTAGGTGGAGTTTTGTTCTTTAAGTCGAACAAGCGCAGAGAAGTCAAGGTACAGATACGATATACAAAAGCAGACAAATAAGTGATGAAGAGCATTAAAAATGGCGAGCAGAAATATGTAGAAAACCTAGAAACTTCAGCAGGATAATTATCCTGTTGTACCTTAAGGTAGAACATCAGGAAATATGAAGAGACCATATGATATATTCAAGCAGTTCGCAGTGAAATACGGTATACCAGAGCAGTCAATCAAGATGGAAGAAACAAACCGATCAGTGAGTGTCAAGAGAAGTGAAAAAGGTGGGTAGAACACCTCAAAGAGCTCTTAAATAGACCAGACCCACTGAACTTACCAGATACGGAAGTAACACACATCTTAAGATGATAATTATCCTAGATGTTATCCTAACAACAACAGAAATTATAAAAAGATGCCAGCGAGGGTAGTTAGCTGGACTTGTTTCGCAGTTATTTTCTGTTATTATTCACATTTTCGACAATCTCCATAACTTGTGCAATTACCATTATTTACTGTATAACTGTTGTTTAAAAAAAACGCGACCTTTGGTCTTCCCTTCCATCTTTGATCGCCTTATACCATGACACATTTATAACAACTCACGAATACAATATTGCACAAATAAACCATTCTAGTTCTAAACAGACCAATTAATTGTTTCTTCGCAAGTCACATTTTGACCTTGCCACTTATTGGTTTACTAATCCCGACTGTTTTGATATGGTCTTATCTGAGTTAACTGTTTGCGCAATTCACTACATGCCTGTAATTTATTTTTGAGCTGAATATAAGTATTGAGTGATGCTTAATCAAATTAAATTGGTTCACTCGCCTTCTCCACCGTGGGTCGTTTTGCCTCACAGTCTTGTAACTCGTGTATTCAGCAGTCACTGGAGCGAGCTGAAAGATCTAAACCACAAACACACAAGGTTAACTGAGCACTTCACAACACAGGGAGAACACGGAATGGAACCACCAGTGATTTATTATTTCAAAATTAAAATTCGTGGGATTGTACAGAACGGGGGCCGTTAGTTTACAAATAGTCTTATGAGTCGTCCTGTAGCCTCAGTGCATGTAGAGCTTGCTCTTCTTCTTCTAAAGCATTTATTCTTGGTCTTCCTGCAATAGAAAGAAAATAGAATCTATTAACACCACATACATGATGGTTTTAACGCTGTTACTGTCTCTCTCTTTGATTTCTCCGCTTCGTTTTTCTGATCGTCTGTCTAGATGGACGATTGTACGAAATATTCGTGTTCAAAATCCATGCTCGTATTTGGCTTATTTTGTTACGTTATTCGATAACGAGAATCGAGTCGATGTTTATATATGAGGGTAGCAGGGATGTATTGTAGGGCCAGTAAAATTTCAATAGGCCCAAGCCGAACCATCCGGCAATTGGGTTACTAAATGTCGAACAGTTCACCGGTCCTCGTCAAGTTCAGGGCCAATCAACGCGCACCGATTAAAAACACACCCCATGAACTGACCCATGCGGTGGTGGTCACACTCCCTTTCTTGTATCGACTCTTACTAATATATCTCTTCAGTAACGTCCTTTGTGTTATACGAACTTTAAAATAGCCATAGTAATTTGATAGGACGAAAGGATAATACACGTTAGGTGCTAACGACGAGGTGTAACTTCGATGTCAGCTGGCTGGTAACATCATTCCCGTCTAACTCAAGTAGGCCCCCAATCATTCTACAGAGATCATCTGTTAGTGATCTACAGTATTTTATGGTAACGACCCTTCATACTATCCAATTAGAGTCAATTATGGGGCCACTAAATGCTGGATAGGACAAAGTTTATTTGAGAGCATCACAAGTTAAAAGAAAAACAGGGAGACCAAAGGACAGTATTGGGAGCACCTACTGAATAGACGCCTATAGCAGTAAATAAATCCACAAAATGAATAGTTTTATAGGTTTTCGACAGTGAAGCTGACCATATTAGTTCTACTGGATACACCTAACTTAAGCTGCTCGGTCACGCATTCACACTAGACCACGAGTGTGCACATCGTGCTACGAGTCCATTACAATTGTTAACCAGCGTAAACTAAACGTTTCCCGGTAAATCTATGGCCTCTCCAATATATTGAAGATGCCACAGGTATTCAGAGTTTGACAACGCTTTAACCAGTAACACCTTCTACTATGAATCGTACCCATCAAGTGAAATCAAAAGACAGAAGGTTCGAAGATATATTTGATAGGCTATCATTATATCGTGTATCAACTGATCTAATCTGGCTAGCGTTTGCAGGGGATGTTGAGCACGGTGTTCCTACTCGTGATCTGGTGAAGATGCATGACCGAGCGCCTTCAGCTAGATGAGTTCATTGAAACTAATGTGGTAGGCATTGAATATCGAAGACGTATAGAGCTATTTATTCTGGAGATTTATTTACCGCTAGAGATCACTCCACCCCTAGTGGGGTAGTGATGACCTCAAGACGTGGCCAGCCATAAGTTTAAGCTCAACGCTTTTGTCGTTGTTAAACACTCTTCTGATAGCCTGCTTTGCTTAGCAGAGCCTGGTCGTCTTTTCTCACTATAAAGGACCATGAAGTACAATATAGTAAAAAAACAAAGTACAATAAAACTTTCCGTTCGTCGTAAACTTGATGGTTCTTTTTATCATCTTTTCCAGCCGTTCTGGAAAAAAAACATGTAAGCCCGTATCGAAATACACTCGTACGTGATCAAAAACAGAAAGCGGTAGAAAAGTAGGAAAGTAAATTTATGCATACGTAATAGCGTAAAAAAGATTTTTACCAAATGGTTTTTTCGTGTTTTTGGAATAAAAATGTAAATATATAAGCATATTAAAATTGATTTTTTATACTACATATAGTACAAAGAAAATTTGAGATGATATTAAATGTCAACTAGCATCTTACGTACAATAATTGTTCAAATGTTCTGGAAATCTTACTCTTCTTCCAGAATGCGTTGTCTTAAGTTTATTTTCTGGTACCGTCGAAGTATCAACGTGTGTGTTGGCTGTCAAATAAGGTATTATAGATGTGGGAGTCGTGTCGTTTGATTGTAACGAAGGGAAATCGACGTGAATAGAATTCCATTCTAAATACTCAGCTTTGAGGAGATCGATGCTGATGCTATCGTTGGTTCCGTTCTTATCGATTATGTAGTACTTAGATTCGCGTTGAAGAACTTTGAAGGATCCTTCGTAGGCTGATTCGAAAGGTCGTCGATGTGAGTCTCGACGAACGAAGTCGTGAGTACTACATCGTATTTCAGGTTGAACAAAACCATCGGTTGATTGCTGTCGAGTGAAAACAGGTTTAACTGAGCGCATTTCGTTTGTAAACTTGCTTGTGTATGCGTTTAGATCCATATTCATTAATGACAAGGGATCTACGAATTCTCCTGGAAGTCAAAGTGTCGTTCCATAAACCAATTGGGCTGCAGTGCATCTAGTGTCAGCATTCACTGCATTGCGAATACCTAGTTAGACGAGTGCCAGAACGTCGGCATACTGTGAGACGTTCGCCGCCGATAGGGAAGCTTTTAGCTGCAGGTAAAAGCGTTCTACTAGCCCGTTTGCTTGTGGGTGATAGGCCGTCGTTCGAAAGCGAAGGATTTTTAATAGTGTAGTCAGACAACAGGAAGTTTCAAATTCGAACTGGCGTCCACAGTGTGTAGTGATAGTTGAAGAGCAGCCAAAGTTTATTACCCATCGTTCGACGAAGGCGAACGTCACTGTTCCTTGATAGGTACCGCTTCTAGCCATCGAGTGAAAAGATAAGAGTATCCATTTGAATCCGGTTAAGGTCTTACCAAATCCAGATGAACATGGTCGAAGCGAGCGTCAACAGTTTTAAAAGAGCCCAAGGGACATGTGTTGTGCCTGATAACCTTAACTTTTTGGCAGCTTTCAAAGCAGCGTGCCCATTCCCTTACGTCTTCATACCAGGTAAACGAAACCGTTCTGCTATAAGCTTGGTGGTTGCACGAACACCTGGATGAGAAAGTTTGTGCAACATGTTGAAGATGTTGCGTCGATAATATTTCGGCACGATTGGACGATTCTTACCTGTAGATGTGTCACATGGTAAGATTTCCTTATCTGTCCCCATCTGTTTAAAACGCAGCTTGAGGGATGTTGACGATAACTCGCACTGGAGATCAGTGTCTTCTCTTTGAAGCTGGGCGAGTTTCAGAAGGTAGATTTCTTGGAAACTGTTCAAGGAAGTTATTCGAGACAAGGCATCTAGAACTACATTGTTTGCTCCAGAAATGTGTTGCATGTCTGAAGTACAGTTGTCGGGACTCTCCAAGTGAGTACTTGTCTGAAGATGAGCTTAAAGAGAAGGTAAGAGATTTTGATCAGTGAAAAGAGCGAATTCTCGGTGTTACGTCCAAGTTTTTGCTCCTTCCCGTTATTGAAGTACGGTATGTCGATCTATTTGCAATTTACGAACCAAAATTTACAATAGAACCAAACTCCAAATTAGGTACCAAAATTTATTCGCAATTCACAAATGGTCGACCAAAATGTCGTTCTAACAACAACAATTATAACAATTACAAAACAAACCTTCAACTTTGTAGGTTCTCGGAGCAAAAATCTCCAAATACCAAACCAAAGACAAACAGAAACCAAAATGTCCAAAAATAATGATATAAACAAACAAATTCAGGAGTTAAGTAAAACGAATACATCCAAAAAACACAGTGAAATTAATGATATTTAATATAAAGCTTTTAGTCAGCCAAATGTCTTCGGTTCTCCCGTAACACTCCGCCTTCAGTAGTGTTGAAAATGCCATACAGCACAGCATATAGCTAGGAGTTCCCTACCAAATGTGCCATACCTCGATTCAGCGTCTAGCAACCGTCTCATGTAGAATGCCAAAGGTTGCCAGTACTGGTTAACCATTGTTGTAAGTCTCTTCCGATTGTTGAGTCGGACGTGTCTACTGCGATACTATTGGGTGCTTCAGTGTCTTAATGTGCAAGCATGGTTGCTTCAGCGATAAGTTCCCTAACTGGGGAGAATGCTTTCCGCGTGGTATCGTCCAAATTGATAGATTTCGCATTTCCACGTAGTTGGTCGGTTAGAGGTTTCATGAGGGACGCATAGTTTGATATGAACCTACTATAGAAACTTACCAGGCCGTTATACGTGCACAATTGCTTATGGTGGTCGGTTCTGGGTAATCCAGAATGGCCGCCACTTTGCTTCCAAGAGGTCGAACACCACGAGCGTCAATAGTGTGTCCTAGGAAATCTAGGGAGTCAGGTCCGATTCGGAATTTCCGAATGTTTACAGTAATGCCATGCTTTTGCAGCCGCTCGAAAACAAGGTGCAGATGCTGGAGATGGGATTGCTTGTCCGGACTTGCTGTCAGACAGTCATCAACATACGCATGTACGAAGTTAAGACCTCGAAAAACGTCATCTATGTACCTTTGAAAAGTTTGTGCGGCGTTTCTTAGACCGGATGGCATTCGCAAAAATTCGTAGAGCCCGAAGGGAGTTATGTTAGCGGTTTTTTGAATATCGTCAGCGGCCATAGGGATTTGCTTACACGTTTTGACCAAGTCGAATTTTGAAAAGACAGTTGTACCTTTCAAGGTAGCTGTCATATCGTGAATGTTAGGCAA